AATTTCCAATCAATAATATGTACATCTTAATCACATAACTAATCATTGTGTAACGTCTATTCTTAATCACCATGTTGTGCACAAACTCAATAATGATCTCTAATATGTACATCTGCCTAATCACTTAATTATTAGGGAAAGCTAGGTACTATCTTTCCCTTCCAAATATTGTACTACCACTATGTTAATTCGCTATTTAAATACAATGTTTATGTAATACAAAGTTAGTCTTAGTTGGAGGGTCGAAGGAAGAGGATATTATTAATTTAGTTACAAAGTCAGTCTGGAGGAGAGTCTGGAAGAAAGTCTAAGAGTAAGTTTTAGAAGAGCAACCCAAGCTACGAGTTTACTTATATTTATAGTGTTAAAATATATTATTTGTGTTCATTGACTTTTGTCTAGCCTTTTACTAAAACCCTCTTCAGACTCCACAACTGCAATTCGTAAGTCATTAGGCAGATGTACATATTAAAGGTCATTATAGATTGAACCTTCGAGTTTGTTCAAAACATGATGATTAAGAATAGTCGTTACACAATAATTAGTTATGGGATTTTCCTAAGTGGTATTTGTTCTAAGTCTTAATGACTTACATAAATAAACATGTATAAAATAATAAGGGCTAACACAATATAAACAATAACGGTTATACATAACAAATAGACTTCGTTTTACTACTGTCACATTCAAAATAATCCTATTTTTCAATAGTTCGCGATAACGCATTAGCCACCCCTGATATAGACAATTTTATATTATAAAATGATGATAACTTTTTGGAAATTATATTCTAACTACATGCAGGCGTCGTTTTACGCCGCACTTCCGTTCCTACAAAAGCCGTAGCAAATCGAATCGGCGTAAAATAAACCATTATTTACAGTGAGGTAACAGTAGGGTTTATATAAGCGTAAAATTAGCACTTAATAAGCATCATTTCGCAGCGGCGTTATTGTGAATCGGCGTTACTTGATTTTTTAAAACGAGACGGAAGAATCATTATTCTATAATTTAGCTTCAATACGTTAAAGTGCTGAATATGGCAAAAAATAATTTAATGATTTGAGAGTTTGAAATTATATGAAGAGACATTCCAAGAAAAGCCCTATGACCCACTGCGCCTATGCGGTAATCCGCCACTGGCTTATGTAAATATATGAACCTTTTAATTATAAATATATAATATCAAAAGAGGAAATATATCATCAAATAATAATAAAAATAATTTATTGTATAATTGCAAATACATACACAGATATAAAAAAAAAATATTGATTGGCCCCAATTATGACCAAATGAGATATTTGTTTCTTAGGCGATTAATAATAAATATGATTTATTACATGTATACATATATAAGAAAGGCTATTGACTGCACTTGTTAAGTTGTTAAACTGTTTAATTGTTTAGCCGTAAATACCTGGAAGTACAGTATTGTCTGTAAAGTTGATGCTGATTTTTCACGAATATTAAAACTTTTATATATCGATATATAAATTCTAATTGATGTATACTGCATTTTGTTCTCTACACCTTTCTTCATCTTTCACGCAACTTCGACATTTCATCCTCCCAGAATGTATAAGGTTTTTAGTCAAAAAAACTTTTTCAGATTGTTTTTTCTGTCGACTAAAAATTAAACGTTCTGGTTGTTAAAGTTATTTTGCAAAGACTATTTGTATTTATCTGAAATTTATTCTGGAACATACGTATATATTGTATGTATTAAATGCATAAAATTTGCGGTCACCAAAATTTCCTCAACATTAATTGTAGACAATCAATTTAGTTTATTACTTTGAAAAAAATCTAATAAGAGACAAAGAGGAAGAGCACTAATTGGAGACATAAATAAGGCCGTAAGCATAATAAATAAAGAAATTGATATGTCATAATTGAATATCAAGGATATGAAACACAAGCCTTCATTATAAATCATGTTACGTACTACGTCTCACTCAATTTATTAGGTGTGAAACAATTGAAATGACTTGTATAAAAGAACGGGTTAATTGATAACTGTTATTAATATCTTATTCAGAGTAATCTAAACTTTATTATGAAAGCAACATCTAGTAGTAATCGAGTAAAGAGTTATGAGGTAAACATTATAATATTGCATATATTGAATTATTTTTTATAATGATACATTTACAGGAAACTATCGACGCACTTAATAATTTGCAGAGTTCACCCCATAAAAGTGTACGACAAAGGGATAATTCGAATAAGTTGCAGAGAACCATCGATTTCCTTGAAAGGTATTATTATAAATATATGCAATTTATTGTTTATAGGTTAAAGTAAAATCTTAGATCTGGGGTCTCGTTAATTCAGTTAGATGATTTATCTGTGATCCATGTCACAGGTACTAAAGGTAAATGGTTTTCCGACAAGATCACAACATCTAATTCGTATAAAGCTTTAATCTTTAATAGCACAGGTAATAGAAATTCCAAAACACACCTTCAAATTTTACAGAAAATTGGCTACGATAAGGTCCATTTAGGTATAACACAATAAAAACATATTTTTGTGCGTCTATTTTTAAATATATATTTTCATAGATTTCGTCAGCAATAAGTCAAGTAAGTGCGAAATGCACAAAGATCTGTGGTTAGAATTAGCTGTTGAGAGTGGCTCGCAGCCCATTCGTTCCGAGGTGCTTGTGTTGCCATCAGTAAATGATGCTTTATTGGAATTGAATGATAACAAACAATACGATCTTCTCGTTACAGGTTCTCTGCACTTAATTGGAGCAATTTTAAATATTATTAATCCTAAATTAGAGTATTTTCAATAATTTTAGTGTAAAATAAAATAATTTTGTAATACTTTTATGTTTAAAACTTTTGTTTAAAAGATATTAATTCATAATAAACAGACTACAGAAAAAATAATACATCTAAATTATTATTATATTTTTTATATTGGAAATTTGTTTATTTTTTCTTGTGTCTATAAAATCTATATAACTAGTATCACTAGTATTAAATAATTACATTAAATTGAAACAGATTATTTATACTTTTGGTAAGTAGTCATTTTATTTTGCATATGTCAATATTAATTTATCTGATTCGTATGCTTAACTATAAAATGTTATCAATTTTGTAAACTCACTTTGTCAACATTTTACAGCATGAACTGCTGTACATTATGCATAACCATTATAATCTCTAAGGGATGCTTTATAACTAATAAAAACTGTGAAAAGATTGAAAATGAACAAAGTTGTTGATATTTGTTTGTCCAACCGATATTACGAATAGGAAAACAGAGAACTAGTAGCTCATGTAAAGTTTATATTAAAAATACATTTAATGGTACATAAATGGAACTGAAAATAGTTGGCAGCCCTATTTATTGATTTTGAAGATCATAATATTTTATTATTTTGAATTAGAACAATTATTTAAAATATGTGTTACACATTCAAATATTGTCAGAATCATGTGTAATATCAGCTGAGAGGTGCAAATAAAAAGCAATAAAAAACATCTGAAATAAAACGAGAAGAGTGGTTTAGAAAGAGACGCCAGATGGTTACAACGGTTGTCAAACGGTTGAGTTAGTGGAGACCAGTTAGCGCGAAAACTCGATGAAGTCTAAATTAGACGAAAATCTAACAAATCACTAAGAACATATAATATTTAAAGTTTAATTATTGTGTAGCAGTTGTTTGCATTCATGAGAAAGGTAATTTTAATTCATAAAATTCTAATTAGAAAAGTGACTGTATTGGGGTAGGTTTCCCCATAAGTTAACCACCTGTAAACAAACAAGACAAGCTAACCTATAAATAGTATGGATGATCTTCCCGCTGAAGATAACGAAGCCACTCCCAGGCGTTCGTTAAGAAGAGGAGCATTGAATGATGTATCAAATGACAATGAAACTCCAAAAACCACATCACCTGATGAACAAGTGATTATTCAAAGGGGACCCAGACGTAAGCCCATAACATGGTCCCCATATGAATATGACAAGACCAAGATTCTTGGTCCACCAAGGGATCGAACTCCAGAAAAGTATCCTATTGGAAAACCAGAGATTAACTCAAAACTACGCAGAAGACTTGTAATGACACCAGAGAAGAATCCAAATAATTTGGGAGAAACAATTGCTAAAAGACTGAGGAGCTTCACTGAAACTAGGGAACAGTTTCAACATTAATAATATACTGTTTGATATACAGTTTTGTGCCTTTTAAAAATATATAAAGCTAAAATATTTTTTTAATTAAATGAAAATAAACGTATTTAGTTATATAATTTATTTTTTTTAACACACAACATATAGAATTATATTGCACTAATTTGTCTGCAATATTACCACAGTTTTCTTTTTTTCCTTTCGAAAAAATAATACTTTTAAATTATAGTGTTTAATCGAATGGATTGTTTTAGACTAGAGGTGGTGGCTTGGCAATTCAGTAGCGTGTTAATCTCTTAAAATTAAAAGAAAAAAGTAGTAACCAGTAGTAAAATCAAGCATGGATAATATTATTGGGTATAATAAACACGATAATATAAAGTCTTGGATCTCCAAAGAGAATACGAATTGTCAAATTTAAGCAAGTAAACTCCTTCAGCAGGATATTTATGAGAACCTGCATATACTTCGCTTTGACAATCCCGTCGAAAGACGGGGACAATTTCTGTTAACAACGGCTTAAGTATACCGTTAACTGTTATTGATCCAGCTTCCAAATCGGCTATATTAATAGTTTCTTCACCAAACATTTCATCTTCATCTAGTTCTTCATCTTCATCACTTTCAGATACATGTACTGATACTTGATCAGTAATTGGAGTTCCATACTCAAAATATACACCAAATCCTATAGAAAAACACATAAAGTATTAGTTTTGTAATTATATATATAAAGTTTAATTTTACCAATGTCATAATGATCTGTGGCAAACTCCCAAAATAATCTGGAACCTCCATGATGTGTAGGAACTCTGACAGTTACAGTCTCTCCATGACCAACCCTAACAACTCCATCACCTTCAGCTTGAGAAACTGATTGCTTAAAAACATCAATGTCTGATCGGGTCCACATATTAGCAGAAACTATTTCTTGTGATTCCTCTGAATTTTCTTCCTTTTCAATCTTCTAATTATAAAAAAATTACATTTAATTTATACACAAATTTGTACATATTACAAATACCTTACCTCTTCAATACTGTCATTATTAATTTCTTTTGATTGTTCCTTGAGGACATCTCCTCCTCTTTGTGCAGCTTGTAATTGTTGCATATATTGTATATAGTGTTGCTCTTGTAACTGTTTGACCAAAGCTCCTTGCTTTTCTGGTTCACCAGGAAATTGATGCTCAGCATATTTCCTGAATTGCTCATAAGTTTGTTCATTTAATGCTTGTTGAATTTGCCTTTTAATGAGTTCTTCTCTTTCTAGCTGTTCCTCTTTAATCTTTAGTTCCTCATCCTTTTTTCTTTTCTCTTCTTCCTGTGCTTGCTTTTTAAGGTCCTCCTCTTTTCTAAAATTATATAATTAAAATATAATTATAACTTTGTTTATAAATTTTATAATTACTCAATCCTCTCCTGTTCTTTCTTCTCTCTTCTATGTGCCTCTATATATGCTGAAAATAAATAACATTTGCGACTCAGCAATTCAACAAAACCAGCTCGTGCTTGATCATCTGATAGATTGCCTAGTTTTTGCCAAGCAATCCTCCTATCTCTGCCAACCACATCGAGAGCCCCTAAAGGTTGTATTTTATTAGCTGCTTCAGCTAGAGGACCATGAGCCACTTGTTGTGAGAATGCAACCAATTGTAACTTATCCTCATAACTAAATTGGACAGCCTTCCCTTCTTTCTCTACAAACAAAAATGGGTTGAAATTGACATAAACATAGCACAATCTAAATACCTTTATAAAAACTAACAGCTAATTTGTAAACTTCTTTCAAAGGTAGACCATAGTCGAAGCAGTCAGTTGGATTTCTTAATTGTTCATCTGTCCCGTAATCCACTCGTAAATTATTGAATTTTTGTTCAATCTCAAAGTTGTCAGTTGCAGCCGCCATTCTTAAACTGCAGACGTGACCATCAAACTACCAACCATTATCAATACTAGATTTTGTCCAAACAAAGCACTTATTTTTATACCAACCTGTTATACAGTTGGCTACACTGAAATAATGCATTGGATAGATGGTTAGATTGTAAACAAATTAAAATGCTAAGCAATCCTAACCCAATTATATTTTCATTTATATCGTGTTAACTATTAAATTAATTTTTTAAATAATGGTAAGTTCAATAAAGTAAATTTATTTTAAATTTAACTATATGTCTTTCTAGGGTAAACACGAAAAAAAGTCGAAAAGCCATAAATCTGAGAAACATAAGAAGGACAAAAAGAAACATAAGAAACGTCATTATAGCTCAAGTTCTTCTGATAGTAGTACTGGAGATGAGTGGGTGGAAAAGGAAACTACACCAAAACAAAAATTTGAAGAGCCCAAGCAGAGAGAGGATTGGTTTTCACTTCCTGCAAATTTTACAACAATATCAAATCATGACAGGAGACGAGAGAGAGAATTGAATAAGAGAAATGAAAAAGAAGAGGATAAATACAACCCTAGTAAAAATGTACGTGAATTGAATCCATATTGGAAGGATGGTGGTGATGGATTGCCCAGTGAATTTAAGAAACCATCAAATGATGATTTTGACATTGAATCAACATCATCTCATAAGCATAAAAGTGTATCTTCATCCAATTGGAGGAAACCAAAAAATGATTTAAATGAACACAATCATAAAAGTGCTTCTTCTTCTAATTGGAGAAAAAAGAAAGATCAATCTTCTGTTACATTAAAAAATGAATCAGATAATAGAAGAAGCAGTCCTGAAATGAATGAAGACAATACCATAAATGAAGAAACAAAGATATTATCAGATAAGGAATTAAATGCTTTAGCTGCTAAATTAGTTAAAGCTGAAATTATGGGAAATACTAAATTAATTGAAGAACTTAAAAATAAGTTAGAAATTGCTAGAAAATTGAGAGAATGTGGTGTTAAAGAAGATCATGAAGTTATATTAACACGCACAGATTCTAAAGGATTTGCAAGGCCTGTTAAAATGCAATCAGATTATAAAGATACTTCAAAGAAGAAGAAACAAAAAGTTGAAACACATTCAGATTCCGGCGATAGAATGCGTTACTTTGCAGATGACGATAACTACTCGTTGAAACAGATGTTTGAAAATGAAAAGTTTAATAGTGCAGAAGAGCAGAACAATCAATTTGCGAAATTAGCAGGGAAAATTAGAAAGAATGACGATATGGACGAAATATTTGCTGATAACATAAGAAACAAAGAATCTGATGCAAAGGTGGATAAAAGAAATACAGACAGAGCAATTGATGAGCACCAAAGAATGACAAAGAGTTTGGACACCTGCAGCAAGTGTTTGCAATCCACTAACATGCTGAAACATCTTATGGTATCTATGGGAGAAACTATTTATTTAAGTTTACCTTCATATGAACCTTTAACAGAAGGTCATTGCCTTTTGATTCCATTAAGGCATGTTATTTCATGCACCCAATTAGACGAAAATGAGTTTTCAGAATTGATGAATTTTAGAAAAATGTTGACAAAGATGTACTTAGATGATGGTGACGATGTTATATTCTTTGAAACTGCCATGTTCTTTAATAGTCATCCACATATGGTGATAAATTGCATACCATTGCCAAAAGAGGAAGGCGACATGGCTCCAATTTATTTTAAAAAGGCCATTGATGAGTCTGAAACTGAATGGGCAACAAACAAGAAATTGATTTCTTTAGCAGGCAAGAATATTTGTAAAGTGGTGCCAAAAGGATTACCTTATTTTAGTGTATCTTTTGGAATGACCGAGGGCTACGCGCATATAATTGAAGACCAGGAAAATTTTCCCAAAAATTTTGCCCATGAAATTATTGGTGGAATGTTGGATTTACATCATAGCAAGTGGAGAAAACCGAAACGGCAGACGTTTGATGAACAAAGTAAACGAGTTTTAGAGTTTTCTAAAAAATGGAAGGAATATGATACAAGTTTGACAAAATACTAGATTTTTGTTTGATTATTTTAAAAATAAAAAGTACAATGTAAATAAGTTAAACAATCATTTCTAATTCCATAGCATAATCGATTGCCTGCTCAGCCAGTTCTTTTGATGGGATTGGCTCATCATTCTTTTGAACCTCTGGTGCAAAGTGGAAGAAATTATCAGGTTGCAATTTCCATTTCATAGTCTAGAAAACAGAAAATATTATTATCTATTCAAAATAATTATATATTAGAATAATTACCTTCAAACCAAATTCTTTAGCAGTTTCTTCTTTTGGCAAATATAGCATTCTTGAAGTATCTTTCAAAGATATTTTTTCATATGCCTTTTCTAAGCAAACTGCAATTTCCCCCCTGATTGTGTCCAATAAGATATCCATAAAAAAGTTATAATTCTTAGCAGGTACATTTCCTTTAGCCAAAAAGATTTTGTTGTAACTTCCTTCCATCAAAAATTGCTCAATAGATAATGGATGTCTGATGTAAACATTTTCCTGGATTTGATCTGATGGAAGTAATTCAAGCTCAGTGTGGAACTCTGCCACACGATTCTGTGACAGCAAGAACAGTAAATTTAAACCTAACAATTGATATTTGAATGCTGATTCAGGAAGTTGGCTATGATAATCAAAGTAGTAACACTTCAATTGAGCCATGTATCTTTCAAATGCAGGGATATCCTTAGCCTCAATACTCCATTGCACACCAATTTCCAGTATATCTCTGGCTAAGATCAGTTCCTCTTTTGTTGCTACAGTATATGAAGTGGGCAGGAAAATCAAATTTGTCAGGCCAATCTGTAAACAATGATTGTTTCATATAAGAATTCTTAACCTAAAAAACGTATATACCTTTAAATCGGCTAGAAGCTTTTCACATTTACTCAAATTCGGCTTCGCTGTTCCCCATTCTAATTTCAATTGCTTGTAAAGCGTAGCAACATCATTAATTACGGACATTTCTCCACTTTTCAACAACCTAGCACTGAAACTATAAGATGAGTTGTGTTTTTAATGCAAACTTTTGACACTTCTGAAAATTACACACCATGACATTTCTAAAACATTTATTCAGTGTTGACAATAATAGGAAAATAAATTTGAATTGAATTTAAATTCGCATTCTCTATGATATGTTACTGCAATTGAAATTAATATTAAATCTAAAATATAACATCTATGTATATTAGTAACATGATAGAAGTATTTTGGAATGAATTTCTTAATATTTTAAGCAATATTTTATTATTGCATTAAGATCATATTTTATTAACTACTAATAAGTTAATTGACAAGTAACAAGTAGTGTGTAGCCACCAAGTGTATATTTAAAGTGTAGATTAAACATTGCGTAATCTTTTGGCCTCTAGAACAATCAATAAACAATAAAACAAACAAACAATAAAAATTAGTAGGAATCTGTTAGTTTTGTAGATAATAATTAGTTAAGCAGCGGATAGATGGAGACAGTAAATGTCAGATTGATGTGTCAACAAAAGCGGCGCTGTGTATGTTTACATTTTGATGCTATCCCCTCCATAAGTTCGTAGCAGCCAATCAGGTGTCTGATAGTACGTCTGTGTTGAACTTATAAGTAAGGCGAGCGTGCAGCTGATTGCATTCTTGAGTTGAACACGTGCAGAATTGCAAGTCGGTGAATGAACCATATTGATTGATTTGTCAAAAAAATAGTAAATAAATAAACAAAGATAAACAAAAAAAAAAATAGAGATCAAATAAAGAAACGACAACACCTGTGTTATTTTCCACATCGAATTTAGTGCTGAAAACAACAAACAAACACCTAAATCAGGATGGCTTTCATGATGCCCGTTGTTAAAAATGATTGGGACATTTACAAGTCCAATCGGTCGAGAAGAGTGTCCGAATGTTCGAATCCGTCGTCCTGTCGTTCCCGCAAGGTGTCCGAATGCAAATCAGAAGGACCGAGCCTGTCGACATCACCTGGAAACGATTTTATCGTCACTTCTCCTACACATCGCAGTGTGCCGGCAAACATGTCTAGGCAGTATTCAAGAGCGAGTTCTAGAACATCGCAATCGAGCCTCATACAGAGCCCATGCAAAAGTGCTTCGTGCTCTCCGCCAAAGAGCGGCTCACAGTCGAGTCTCAACAAGTTTCACAACAGACTCCTGGATAAACTCAAGAGGTCGTTAAAGAGTAAGGATAGTGACAACGAACGGACCAGTTCATGAGATGGCAAGAAGACCTCGCCTTCGCAGGAACACAACGCCTCCTAGTGCATATTTATATTATCATATATATATATATTTTATAGACTGTGTTATAACTTTCTTATTACAGATTTGTTTTTGTTTACATTTTCAAATATGATTTGATTGTATTGGGTCATTGACACGGCCGTAGCTAACTGAACAACTACAGTACGTACAAGTTCAGGTCTAGCAATCCTGTGATATATCTCTCGTATGCTCGCCCTTCCTTCCAAGAAGGGAAGCGAATTACGAAGAAAATCTAGTAGTTTTTAGCACGGTCGAGGGAATATTTCCGATCTGCATTGCGCAGCAATGCCGGAACTTAAAGAAATGATCGATAAATCTATATTTTTTCATATTACAACAACAACTTTGATAGCTGCAACTTGGGTGCAAAAATGAATTCGGAGAATTAATGTGGAAGTGGAAGAGTACAAGTTCACTATTAAATCGAAATTAGAATTAATAAGCGAAAATAACTAGTCGAAATGAAACTAAATTAAATTTTACTGATAAGACTGCAAGGAGGTATCTTCACTAGCGAAATATTTATATACTTATTATATAATTATAAGTTTTTATTGTAAAGCGACTGCGAATGTCTGTTATTTTTGGTCTGCTTCGTTTTTATGTTTGTTTTTTTGTTTAGTTCGGATATTGAACGCTTCGAAATATCTATCTACCTATATATTATATATTGATACTAATCGATTCTAGTTACAGGTTCTATGTTGTAAAAGCTTCGCTTAGAGAGTTTCAAACCAAAATTATTCCGTACGTTCATCACAATATATAGTGAGAAAGAAAATATTCAAGCTTATGTTCTGTTTTTATTATGTTTGTTACAAATACTTATTTTAAATATGTAAATCCTAAAATTGACGTTCGACAATTATTTTAATGTTAAAGAAATACATTCCAAAACTAAATTATAAAAAAAAACAAATTACTTGATTGAAAATTGAAATTTGTGACGATAATATAAAGAAAACTTATTTATTACTATTATTAATGTATTATTGTGACGATGAATTTTTTTTTAAGTAAATAAATTTTTGCCTTTGGCTACATGTTTAAAAAAAAACAACAGAAATGAATCTTTATTTGCGTATCCCAGATCCCATCCAAGCGAGACGTAGAAATGATTTAGTCTGGAGCGAGTGGAAAATTACCGAACGCATTGCAATTCCACCGCTGACTAATAAAGCCCCCACTCTGTATTTATAGACGGTTTGCGGTATGCAAAAACGCATTACAGCCAATCTTCTTTCGTCGCTAGTTTCTCTCCATCTTCACCAACTGTTTTAAATACACACCTTTTTATGCCATTGTCATTTGCGTTTGACGTAGTTTTCGAGACTCGGATCGATATTTCTTACTGGGGGCAAACATTTTTATTTTCGTACTGCGCCGAAAATGCCCGCTGTTATTTTTAAATACCTTTTAATGTCAGCATTTAGACTTCCAAAAACAGCTGAGAACAAATTTTTATACACTCATCATTTCAATTTCCTTGCTTACATAATTGCATATGTATATAAAAACTATTCTTAGCTAGTTTACAAACTAAATGCATGGTATACAAACCAACTAAATACTGTGTACACCAACAATCATAAATTATTTCTGAATAATATAGTAACAACAAATATAGAAAATCTAAGTTTAGAGAAAATCTTTTTTTTACATTTTTAGAGATTTGCTTGTTACGATTTTGTTTAATTTAAACTTTTAAAGTTTGAAATATGCACTAGTTTATGAATCTTAGACAATATTATGCTTTTCTTATTATAATATTATCATTAGACAAAAATAATAATTATGTTATGTGTATAATATTAGCCAATTTTTACATAATTTTATATATTTATTTTTTTTTAAACATGTCTAAATATAAAGTTAACAATGAAATGTAGTTACTGATCATAAATTCTTAAATGACATTTAAATAAATACCAATTTTAAAAAGCTTAATAATGATGGAACCGGTTCGGTAGTGCAAAAATTGAGAGAACTTCCAGACAGAAAAGAGATTATTTTGTAAATATGCAAAAATATTCAGTATAATATTTAACGTTTTGTTTTTTTTAACATGCATCACTATTATTTTATTTTCGCTGTGCAAATATAACAATTGCACGGTGTTTATTTTTAAATATTAAGTTACTTAAAGTTTGTAATATAAATATTTAATTTATGCAAACAGTTTGCATAAAGAAGTGATACGCTTCATGTGCAAGGCATAGGATTCGCGATGACCTCAGTTTCATTCCTACATATTGTGCAAGTTTCAACCTGTTTGTCGAATCTGCTTTACCTTCATTTTAATCCATTTGCAGCGGATTTTGTATAATTTTAGAAAATTGTCTTACAAATGTATACTTTATCTAAGCCTTAGATTCTAAGGTCTAGTCTAGAGTCTAGATTCTAGACAAATGATTTGTAATGGAAACACAGTTATTTATTACAAAATAATTAGTGAACAAAATGAAATATCTATATTTTTTGTAATCAGTATATGCAGTTCTATTATATATCACAAAAACACATTAGACTTGTGTAAATAGCCATTTTTTATGTTGGTTAGACCAATAACTAGTTTCCGTATAAACGTTCTTCAAAACTTTCATAATTAATTGGTATAATTAGCAAAAGAAACCCAGAGTAAATAGATTAGTGCAGGGCCGTATTTGAGCCAATTGGTTTGGGGGGGGATTGTTGCAGTACAGTTATATACTCATTGTTTTTATACAGGTTTCTCATTCTAGAAATTCATGACTTCTGATTTTTATAATTGAATTTTGGATTTTGTTTTGAATAAATATTTAAAATCTATATTTAAATATGTAAATTATAACTGTTAATTAATTTTGTTATTTAAAGTTTGAGGGGCACTTATTGGATCCGGCCTGGCTTAGTGAGTAATAAAAGGTCATTTTAATCCAAAAAAATATATCAATACATATTTTTAAAATTACTCAATCGGTGTTAATTTTTAGGAAATATTTTTACAATTATTAATATTCGATAAACATTCGAAATATTCGATTTCATAAAAAAATGATTAATTTTAATTATTATTAACACCAGTAAACATACAATTAATGATGTTACATATCAATTGAATGTTTTCTCACTTAATAATATTTGAGCGATACAGATGTAATGTTTGCAAGTGTAAAGAACTTATCGAAGCGATAATTAATAACACATAAATTGATTTAAAAGCGCACTTATGTGAGAGGTCATCAATGCAATAATTAATAATATAATGATATATGAAAATATCTTTCAGACATATAAACATTTCATTCCTGTTCCATTATTTATTGCTTTGATTCGTGTCAATAATACAGATTTCGTTTCTATTTTTCGCTGCAAATCTTAATAATGTTTAATCGATAAATTTCTAGGATTCTATTTATAGAAAACTGATATTCCGATGCTGCGTGCTCATAATATAGGAAAGTTACTTGGAACTTATCGCAACATACATTTTGACATTGAAAGTATTCATAAAATGTAAGTATAAGCTTTCTAAGAATAAGTTGACGGAAATACTGTTGTTTATATACATATTGTATATAAGATAGTTATGTAAACTTATGTATTACTTTAAAATATATATTCTTCGATTTATATCGATTATAAAAAAAAACTAGCAAATCAACAAATGAGCATTAAAATATATCACGGATGAATTATTGTATAGTTGTTTTTTGTATAAATTTTGGTGCATTTTACGTATCGTAACTTGTGAGTCTTATATAAATATAAGATTCATAAAATCTACTTTGATTCGTATAGTATTTGAGTTTTACAATAGAGTGGAATTCCCCGTTTGGCTAATCTGTATACTAATTTGTATAGGTTTAATGATATACAGTTAGTCCATTCATTTATTCCGCTTAGAAATTTGTACCGAGAAGTGTGCAAATTCATAATTAATTATTAGTTATATTTGCCTGATTTTATATTAACTTTAGTCATTTCAATAATCGTTAGAAACATTTTTTAAAATTATTATTAGGTGTTTCACTTGATATATTAAATTTTAATAATTGCAATTCTAGTTAAATGCATTTTAATGATCGACTTATATTATAATAAAATATCATGCGAAATGTTAATGTAATAATGGAAATTTCCTAGTATTCGATATCAGAATATATATTTACAGAATTTTCTTGATAGTTAATAATATTGTAAACACTATGATGATTAAGAGTTTAAAAAGTTCATATTTAATTATATAAATGTAATAGTAAGATTAATTTAAGATATAAATATATCTTAAATAGATCTCTTCGTGATTATATAATTAACAGGGACTTTAATATATACAAAGTATATTTATTCATAAACTCATACAATCGATCATCAATACAGATTTTTTATTAATTTTGTATTAATTATTAACTATTTAGAAATAATTTGTTTTAATACTATAATTCAATGAAGATAATAAAACTTTTGGTTATTATTAGAGGTATAATTTATTTTATAAAGCAATTTATCCACTGCAATTTTTATCTTATAAATTTGGGATACTTACTTACGGGGTGTCTTATATCTCGAACAATATTGTAGTTTACTATACGTAATGTTAAATCCTACTCCTGCTCTTACTTATTTTGTCTGATATGTAGATAATCCTAAAGGTACGCTTCCTTTCAGAATCCCTAACATATTAGGAAAACATATTTCCGACAAAACCTGCCGTTATGTATTGTATAGCTTTGTGTAAAACGAATGAAACGTTTTACTTTACTTTATCAGAGCCATTGGTATGTTATATGTTTATTTAATATTTCTATATATTATTAAAAAAAACTATGATATCATAGTTTAGATAAACTATGATAATTGTTTATAATTTTTGCATAAATTGAATTTGTTTGCTAATTATATTATATATATTTTTTTAAATCGAATTAATATAAGAAATGTTTATAAATATTTATTGGATTTATTATTTGTTTATTAATAATGACAAATATGTCAGAAATTGAAATTAGTCATCTGTATCGTCAATTTTAGTCATTGTTATTTGCAGAATTATGACTGGTTCCTATCGTTGTCAAGGTTTCCCCCATAAGTGATCGTATAATAATGTCATCTTCATGGGACTGCGTTGCAATATATAATACTAACAATCTTATATTCAAGTGCAATGAGAGAACGCGAATGAAACGTCGAGACAAGGTCGTTAATTAATCATCGAGTGCAGAAATGGAAATTTTCCACTGCCAACGACGAGCGCCGCAATGATTTTATCAAGCTCCTGTTTTACAAACAAACGGGTTTTTATTATGAAACATTTGTTATGTATATCGTTAATTCGACAGATTAGTAAACTAATACCTGGGTGTCGAAACACATATTATTGTTAGTAACAATTTGTTATAATTGTGTGTGTGTGTGTGTGTGTGTGTGTGTGCGTTACTGGTACCATTACCATCTGTATACTTGATGATAGTCAATTTGGAATTGCGAATCGGTCTGTATATGGACAGATGCGGCCGAACGGAATGACGAAACCCGTTAAACGCCACGATTTCGCAATAGTTAATTCTGCACGAAACCGTTTGCACGTTCGCAATTTGCGTACGCGCATTGTCTCTGATTCAAAATCCAGTTGCATAACGATTCCTGGATGCTATTTATACAAGTGCGTATTTCGGTACATCGTTTGCTAAGTACCATACTTCCTAAATCAAAATGTATCATATAAATTAAATACATATAACCATTATAATTTTGGTGTTTTCTATGATCTTTGTTATTTGTTATGTTATTATTTTCCGGACAGAAAGACCTTCGGT